CCCCTGTTTTTGGACCCTGACCCCGCGGATCTGCGTGAGGGGTGGCACCGAATTTCAGAAATGTGGCAAATCCCCTGTGTTTTTGAACCCTGACCCCGCGGATCTGCGTGAGGGGTGGCACCGAATTTCAGAAATGTGGCAAATCCCATGTGTTTTTGGACCCTGACCCCGCGGATCTGCGTGAGGGGTGGCACCGACTTTCAGAAATGTGGCAAATCCCTTGTGTTTTTGGACCCTGCCCCGCGGATCTGCGTGAGGGGTGTCGATTTCGAGCCCCCCCAGCAATTCAGACAACGCCCCAGGGGGTGCAAAAAGCCGGTTGGGCCTCCCCCCCCTCAGGCGCGGCAATCAACTAGTTACAGTAACCAGCAATAAAGTCAACAAGTTTACAGTAACCAGCAAGAAGCAGAACTGCAACACTGGAAACTACAACCTACGACTTGTACAGGAAACTGCGAATCACGGGCCTACCGCCTGGTGGCCCCACAAGGGGGCCGGCGGATTTGTGTGTCCCAGGGCCCCTTCAAAGATAAGAGAAACCCTACCAGACGCCACAAAACGTGCCAGGGGGCACGGTGGCGGATCCTCTGTACCCACGCGCCTACTTGTGCATGGCCATATAATCCACTTGGGGCCTTCGCTGAGGAGCGGGAGGATCAGGATGACCGAGCCGCTCGGGAATCTTCGAGTCCGTCCTTCTCTTGCGTGCCGCTGTATCGTTCTTTTATTGCCCGTCCCAGGCAAAAGATAAGGGCCCCCTGACCAGAGAGGAAGCCACGCAGGCAATGATGAAGATGGCGCTCATGAGGCATTTTGCCGGCGATGGGCATTGATGGGGGATCATAAGGATACGTATGAGCGTGGGGAGGAGAATGAGGGAGATAAGGGGGAGGATGAGGTTGAAATGGAGCGGGAGCAATGGAGCGGGAGCAGGAGGAGAGAGGAAGGGATGAGTGGGAGGGAGGATGGGTGGAAGGGCGGATGGGCGATGGTGGGGTAGGGGGAGGGGCCTCCGCTTCCCCTCTCCCCGCCCGCCTCCCTCTGGTCCGCTCCCTCCTCCCCCCTCCGCCCGCTCCTCGGGACCCCGCCGCTGCTCCTGCTGCTCCTCTGCCCGTTCCCCCTGCCCATCCTTGGACGGAGCCTGGGCACCGCGACTCCTAAACTCGAAGGAGGAATGCAGTCAACCCGCATGCTAAGAAACACCCCGCCTGCCTCCAAGGTGCCCCCCTGGGTTTCTTGGGTTTCGATGGTTTTGCGATGGAAAGCGTGACGTTCCCACGCCCAAAATCAATGGGCGCCCTGAGGTCTCAGGTTTGGGTGTCTTGTGGAAGGTCTCTTGTGGACTGGTCTCCACTGTAGTAAGGATGGACCCTTCCCAAGGGTGCCCTTGCATCCTTGCCTCCTCGGTCCATCCTTGGCCACACTCGCTGGCCGCGCCCCGCTCGCAAGGTGTCGACATGGCCTTTCAAGACCCTTGCATCCTTACCGCGTATTCTCATAAGTTCGTGTACGGGTTGGCTGTAACTGCATGAACACATGCATTTGTTCGTCGTTCCGTGCGCATTTCTTGGCTCGGCGCTGGGCCCACCTGGCGGCGCCTCCGGCGCTGCCCCTGGCGCGCTCCGCGCCAGTCCCAGAACTCCCCGCAGACCTCCGAGAAATTCTGTCAGTGCGACAATACTGAACTTAAACGGTGTTTTTCGTTTTTGTTTTGTTTCCGTTTTCCCTCGTTTTGTCTTGAATTCGCCTTTGCCGCAAAACGACAGAAACGAAAACGGCCCACGAAATCGCCGAAACACCGTTTAGGCCCGGCCCTGCAGTGCGAGTTCTTCTGTTGCTCTGTTCTCCCATGTAAAAAGTTTCTCCGAGGACCGCCCTTCAGAGTCGTCGGGCTGTTCTCTCGGAGCACTTGCTCCCTCCCGAAGGCGCCCTGGGCCCGCGTGCCTCCTCTGGTCTCCCGGCGTGGCCAGAGCTCGCCTCTCCCGGCATGCCTCCGAGCCGCAGGGTGCGGCCCCCTCGCCTCCGTGCGGCCGGGATCACCGAGCGCGCTCCACGACTCGCAGATCGCCTACTCGCAAAGGTCCGAAGAGCACATGTCTGCTTTTCTGTCGTTTATCGTAGGTCCCCCGCGGGGGATCCAGGCCATTTGCGAGTAGTGACTTTGCGAGCAGTGGAACGCGCTCGTCTAAAGAGGGGGGTGATGACAAGGGGGGGGGGATATCATGGCGGGGGCCACGATATCTCCCCAGATTCTATGGCGCCCCATCTTATTTCAACACGTCCCCCCGCACCCCCCCGGGCCGCGCACGTGCCGCCGGCCACGATTTGCGCCCCCCCCCCCCCCCTCTGGGACGCCCTCCTTGGCCGCCCCCGACCCTCGCTCCGGGCGACCGTGGTGATAAAAGCTTCCGCGCGTGGATGGGATTTTCCGAGCCTCGGGTGGAGGTTCCATCGCTCCCGCGTGCCTTTGTGCTGCCAGGCTTCCGCTTCTGGGCCGTGGCATCGGGCGAAGCAGGTTGTGCACAGGCACCGATCCTGGCTAGGCCCATCCTTGGCCCAGGACCGGTGCATCTACCTTCCTGGTCCAGGCAGGAGAGCGTATCCACCGATTCTTGGCTCCAGATGGGCCTGGCCAGAATCGTTGTATGTGCGTAGTTCTCTTTCCTCTGCTCCAGGTGATATCCCCAGCTGCCAGGCTTCCGCCTCTGGGGCGTGGTCCTGCGCCGCATGGCAGCGCTGCTGTCCCCGCAGGTATCGCTTTTGGCCAGAGCTCCACTGCGGGCCCCGAGGTCGCAGGACGCCGCCCTTTCGCTCACAGTCAACACAGATAGTAAGGATGCCTTTCCAAGTTTGCCTTTGCATCCTTCCCCTTCGGCCAACCCTTGTTTTTGGGGCCACTTTCGCTGGCCGCGCCCCGCGCGAAAGGTGTCGACGTGGCCTTCCGAGGCCCTTGCTGGGCGGAGGCGTCTCTGGGGCACCTCGGGCCCACCGCGGGCTTCCTGCCCCTCGCTCCTCCTCTCCGTCCTCCTGGCCTCCCATTCCCCCCCCCCCCCCCTGCCCTTCCCCCCCCCCCTCTCCTCCCCTCCCCGATCTCCCCCCTCCCCGCCTTCTTGCCCCCCCCCCTCCCTGCCGCGCCTCCCCCCGCTCCCGCCCCCCCTCCGCCCCCCCCCCCCCCCCCTCCGATCCCCCCTTCCCTCACCCCCCCTTCCTCCCCTCCCCCGCGGCCTCCGCGCCCTCCCCCTCGGCCTCTGCGCCCTCCCCCTCGGTCTCCGCGCCTCCGGCCGCGGCGCGAGGCGCCGGCAAGACGAGGCCGCGCCGGGCAGCGCCACCGCGCACGTGGCGGACTCCGTCGGGTGCTCCCCGCGCGGCCGGGGGCGGCGAGGATGCCCGCCGGTCGTTGGAAGTAGGTATTTTTGGACTCCCAGATCCCAATATACTTCAAGCGCCTTCCTGCTTCCTGGACCCAATCAACTGAATCCGCCTTCCTACTTCATGTTCTTACCTACTTCTTCCGACCGACGTGTACCCCTCTGGCAGGAGCGATGGCGACGGCGTTGCTGCCGAAGAGGGGGCTTATGATGGTCACGATGACGATGGCGAGGAGGAGGAGGACGACGATGATGATGATGGCGACAATGATGAGGATGAGGATGAGGATCAGGACGAGGACGAGGGCGAGGACGATGTTGACGATGACGATGTCCATGACGATGGCGATGATACTGCTGCTGCTGATGATCATGATGATTATGATGATGCTGCTGATGAATGTGATGTCGCTGATGTTGTTAGTGTTGCTGTTGTTGCTGTTGTTGATGATGATGATGATGATGATGCGGTTGTTGTGATGTTGGTTGCAATTGCGGTTGTTGTTGCGGTTGCTCTTGTTGTGGTTGTTCGCGAGGACACTACTGGAGGCCCGTTGCTCGACCCCCCCCCCCGAGCAACACCACGCACGGGCACTGCAGGGCCCCTGGTCCGAGCAACGCCACGAGGCCTCGCCAGGCCGCTGCGGGGGTCTGCAGGGCCCGGCGGCGTTTCTTGGCAGGTCCTTTCGGGACTGCTGCGGAGCCCCAGGGGCTCCACCGAGGCTCCATTTCGGCACACCCCTCTCGAGGATCGTGGCCCTGGCCCCACAGGGAGCTCCACCGAAGTTTGATTTCGGCGCGCCCCTCTCACGGATCGTGGCCCTGGCCCCACAGGGAGCTCCACCGAGGCTTTATTTCGGCACACCCATCTCGAGGATCGTGGCCCTGGCTCCACAGAGAGCTCCTCAGAGGCTTCATTATGGCACACCCCTCTCGAGGATCATTTTGGCACACCCCTCTGCAGGGCCCTGCACGATTCCATCGGAACCGTAGAGGGAGCCTATAGGATCCTTACAGGGTCCTGCACGGTTCCATCCGAATCCTATAGGGATCCTATAGGATCCTTACAGGGTCCTGCACGACTCCATCGGAGTCCTATAAGGAGGAACCTATAGGATCCTTACAGGGTCCTGCACGATTCCGTCGGAGTCCTATAAGGAGGAACCTATAAGATCCTTACAGGGCCCTGCACGATTCCATAGGAACACCCTATAGGGATCCCATAGGATCCTTACAGAGTCCTGCACGATTCCATAGGAACCCTCGTGGGATCCTATAGGATCCTTACAGGGTCCTGCACGATTCCATCGGAACCCTAGAGGGATCTTATAGGATCCTTTCAGGGTCCTGCGCGATTCCACAGGAACCCTAGAGGGATCCTATAGGATCCTTACAGGGTCCAACAGGTTGCCATAGGAACCCTCTAGGGATCTTATAGGATCCTTACAGGGCCCTGCACGATTCCATCGGGACCCTATAGGGATCCTATAGGATCCTCACAGGGCCCTGCACGATCCCATAGGAACCCTATAGGGATCCCATAGGATCCGTACAGGGTCCTGCACGATTCTATAAGAGTCCTATAGGGGTCTTATAGGATCCTTACAGGGCCCTACAGGATTCCATCGGAACCCTATAGGGGTCCGAGAGGATCCTCACAGGGCCCAACAGGATTCCATCGGAACTCTATAGGGATCCTATAGGATCCTTCCGGGGTCCTGCACGATTCTATAGGAACCCTAGAGGGATCCTATAGTATCCTTACAGGTCCTGCATGATTCCATGGGAGTACTATAAGGAGGAACCTATAGGATCCTTACAGGGTCCTGCACGATTCAATAGGAATCCTAGAGGGATCCCATAGAATCCTTACAGGGTCTTGCACGATTCCATCGGAACCTCAGAGGGATCCTATAGGATCCTTACAGGGACCTGCACGATTCCATAGGAACCGTAGAGGAATCCTCCAGGATCCTGACAGGGCCCAACAGGTTCCCATTGGAACCTTATAGGGATCCTATAGGATCCTTACAGGGTCCTGCACGATTCTATGGGAAGCCTATAGGGATCCTATAGGATCCTTACAGGGTCCTGCACGATTCCATAAGAGCCCTGGAGGGATCCTATCGGATCCTTACACGGTCCTCACGATTCCATAGGAACCTTGGAGGGATCCCATAGGATCCTTACAGGGTCCTGCACGATTCTATAGGAACCTTATAGGGATCCTATAGGATCCTTACAGGGTCCTACAGGATTCCATCGGAACCTTCATAAGGGTCCTATAGGATCCTTACAAGGCCCTGCAGGATTCCATCGGGACCCTATAGGGATCTTACAAGATCCGTACGGAGCCTGCACGATTCCATAGGAACCCTGGAGGGATCCTATAGGATCCTTACAGGGTCCTGCTCGGTCCTGCACGATTCCATAGGAACCGTAGAGGGATCTTATAGGAACCTTACAGGGTCCTGCACGATTCCATAGGAGTCCTATAGAGGAGGAACCTATAGGATCCTTACAGGGTCCTGCACGATTCAATAGGAATCCTAGAGGGATCCCATAGAATCCTCACAGGGTCTTGCACGGTTCCATAGGAACCCTGGAGGGATCCTATAGGATCCTTACAGGGTCCTGCACGATTCCATAGGAACCGTAGAGGGATCCTCCTTAGGATCCTTACAGGGTCCTGCACGATTCCATCGGAACCCTATAGGGATCTTATAGGATCCTTACAGGGCCCTGCACGATTCTATAGGAACCCTAGAGGGATCCCATAGGATCCTTACAGGGTCCTGCACGATTCCATAAGAACCCTGGAGGGATCCTATAGGATCCTTACACGGTCCTGCACGTTTCCATAGGAACCCTAGAGGGATCCTATAGGATCCTTACAGGGTCCGGCACGATTCCATAGGAGTCCTGTAGGGATCCCATAGGATCCTTACAGGGTCCTGCGCGATTCCATAGGAGTCCTATGAGGAGGAGGAGCTGGCCTCGCTGGCGCGTGGTCGGTTTTCGGACACAGGAGTGCGTGGGGAACAGTAAGGGAGCCAACGGAGATTCGGAAACACATATAGATTTACGTTAGCGTATGACAGAGGTGTTGCGCGTTGCTCCCCCCCCCCCGGGGCAACAACTGCAACGCGTGGCCTGGGGCAGTGCGCTCGCCCCGGGGGCGAGGACACACCCACGGGCCCCGCCGGGGTGGCCTGAGAGAGTGTCCTTGCGTTGTTGTTGTTGTTGTTGTTGTTGTTGTTGTTGTTGTTGTTGTTGTTGTTGTTGTTGTTGTTGTTGTTGTTGTTGTAGTTGTTGTTGTTGTTTCTGTTGTTTCTGTTGTTTCTGTTGTTGTTGTTGTTGAATACTCGTTGCCATATAATAAGTATTGCTGGTATCCGGAAACTGTTCCGGGCGTTCTCGCCTCGACGCCGGCTGCGTTTCCTCTGCGAACGAGCTTCCCGCTCGAGCGTTGGTTCGACCTTCAAAGTGGGCCCTTGGAACCCCAGCTACGACAACAACGGCCCCCGCTCGATATTTCCTCGCAATTTAGTTCGAGACACCCAGGCCAGAGAGGCCTCCGAACTGAAGAACGGCGCTCTCGCTCGAGACCCCTTCGCAATTCGACCGAACCGGCGCGGGCCCAGCCGCGACGACAAAGGCCCCATGCTCGATGCTTCCACGCGATTTACCCCGAGAGCCCCTCCCCTGGCCAGGAAGGCCCCCGAACTCGGGAACGGCGCTCTCGCTCGAGACTTCCTCGCGACGCAGTCAAATTGGTGGGGGCCCACATTCGACGACATGGGCCCCCGTTCAATATTGCCTCACTTGAATTCGCAGGGGCCCTTGCCAGGGAGGCCCCCGAACTCAAGAATGGCGCTCTCGGTCGAGACGCCTTCGTCATTAATTTGGCGCGGGCCACGCCGCGACGACAAAGGGCTGCCGTTCGTTACTTCCTCAAGCTGTGCTTCGAGAGCCAGTAGCCCGAGACTGCGATTCAGTGGCGGCGCCCGGGGGGCCACCTGCGACGACGGGGGCCGCCGCTCGACGCCCCCTCGCAGCGTGCTCCGACGCGACTTGGCCAGACCCGCCCCCGAACCACAGAAGCCCCAGCGCGCTGCTCAGTGAGGCCTTCGGACACAGCCCACAGAAGCTCCAAGCGCGCTCGCAGGGGCCCCGGCGCGCTGCTCATTGAGGCCCCCAGCGCGCAGCCCGCTGATGCCCAGAGTAAGCCCGCAGGGGCCGTAGCGCGCTGCCCACGGGCCCTCCGGCACAGCCCACATTTGCCCCAAACGCGCCCGCAGAGGCCCCCCCGCGCTGCCCGCAGAGGCCCCGAACGCGCCCGCAGAAGCCCCGGCGCGCTGCCCACCGAAGCCTTCGACGCAGCCCACAGAGACCCCAGCCCACAGAAACCCCAAGCGCGCCCACAGAGGCCCCGGCGCGTTGCCCACTGAGGCCCTCGACGCAACCCGCCTTCGACACAACCCACAACAGCCCGAGTTCCCGCCCCGAGCGTGCCCGCGGAGGCCCCAACGCGCAGCCCACGGAGGCCCCCCGTTCCACAGAGGCCCCAGCCCACAGAGGCCCCGACCGCGCCCACAGAGGCCCCCGCGCGCTGCCCACAGAGGCCCCGGCCCGCAGAGGCCCCGAGCGCGCCCGCAGGAGGCCCCAACGCGTTGCCCACTGAGGCCCCCGACAGCCCGCAGAGGCCCCAGCCGGCAGAGGCCCCAAGGGCGCCCACAGAGGCCCTGGCGCGATTTGAAATTGGCAGAAATGCTACAAAATGGCGGATCTGGAGTCAGGGACGGCCTCTTCAGGGCGCGCCCTGGCGCGCAGCTCCTCAGCAGCGATGGTTTTGGCCGCATCGAGGTCGAGCTGCCGCCGGGCTAGCCGAGGGGCGCCGCCTGCTGGACGCCTCCACTGTCTACGTGGCCACCGCGGACGTCAAGGACTGCATCCGCCGGATACTCGCACGCGAGGACCTCGGT